ACTGATTTAACGCCGAGTAGATCCAAGGGAGCAGAAATCAGACTGGGGTCGCCGTGTTTGTAGCGCAGTGTGCTAAATCACTGCGCCACCTCTCGCCACTGCGTCACAAACACACGGACAGGCAACACGCACAAATACACGCACCCCTCGCTCTCCCTCCGACAGTCGGTATCTCGTGCCACCTGTCCAAATACACGAGAGGCACCGTACATACACGCAAACGTGTGCGACACGGCAACCAGAAACATGCCAAAGCACACACAATGACCATCACCACCAGCCACAAACGCATACGTGAACCTGGCCTGGTCTCCCCGAGGTGGTGAAAATGCTGCAGTGCGGTCAACGTGAATAACGGGGCTGAGACGACGGCGCGCTACCGTGGTAGGCACTCGACGCCAGCACGGTGCATTCAATCAGTGCTGTGCCACCTCAGTCAGCCCAGTCTCACCCGTCATACTCACTCAGAGCCACACGTCACTCACTCAAAGCCACTCACTCACTCAGAGCCACGTGTCACTCACCCAGAGCCACACACTTACCCAGAGCCACTCACTCACTCACTCAGAGCCACTCACTCACTCACCCAGAGCCACTCACTCACTCACCCAGAGCCACTCACTGACCCAGAGCCACTCACTCACTCACTCAGAGCCACTCACTCACTCACTCACCCAGAGCCACTCACTGACCCAGAGCCACTCACTCACTCAGAGCCACTCACTCACTCACCCAGCCAGAGCCACTCACTCACCCAGAGCCACTCACTCACTCACCCAGCCAGAGCCACTCACCCAGCCAGAGCCACTCACCCAGCCAGAGCCACTCACCCACCCAGAGCCACTCGCTCACCCAGAGTCACTCACTCACTCACTCACCCAGAGCCACTCACTCACCCAGAGTCACTCACTCACTCACTCAGAGCCACTCACTCACTCAGAGCCACTCGCTCACCCAGAGTCACTCTCTCACCCAGAGCCACTCACTCACCCAGAGCCACTCACTCACCCAGAGCCACTCACTCACCCAGAGTCACTCACTCACTCACTCACCCAGAGCCACTCACTCACTCACCCAGAGTCACTCACTCACTCACCCAGAGTCACTCACTCACTCACCCAGAGTCACTCACTCACTCACCCAGAGCCACTCACCCAGAGCCACTCACTCACTCACCCAGAGCCACTCACTCACCCACAGCCACTCACTCACTCACCCAGAGCCACTCACTCACTCACCCAGAGCCACTCACTCACACACCCAGAGCCACTCACTCACTCACCCAGAGCCACTCACTCACTCACTCACCCAGAGCCACTCACTCACTCACTCACCCAGAGCCACTCACTCACCCAGAGCCACTCACTCACTCACTCACCCAGAGCCACACACTCACTCACCCAGAGCCACTCACTCACTCACTCAGAGCCACTCACTCACCCAGAGCCACTCACTCATTCACTCAGAGCTACTCACTCACCCAGAGCCACTCACTCACTCACCCAGAGCCACTCACTCACTCACCCAGAGCCACTCACTCACTCACCCAGAGCCACTCACTCACTCACCCAGAGCCACTCACTCACTCAGAGCCACTCACTCACTCAGAGCCACTCACTCACCCAGAGCCACTCACTCACCCAGAGCCACTCACTCACCCAGAGCCACTCAGTCACCCAGAGCCACTCACTCACTCACTCAGAGCCACTCACTCACCCAGAGCCACTCACTCACCCAGAGCCACTCACTCACCCAGAGCCACTCACTCACTCACTCACCCAGAGCCACTCACTCACTCACTCACCCAGAGCCACTCACTCACTCACCCAGAGCCACTCACTCACTCACTCACTCACTCACCCAGAGCCACTCACTCACCCAGAGCCACTCACTCACTCACCCAGAGCCACTCACTCACTCACTCAGAGCCACTCACTCACCCAGAGCCACTCACTCACTCACCCAGAGCCACTCACTCACTCAGAGCCACTCACTCACTCACCCAGAGCCACTCACTCACCCAGAGCCACTCACTCACCCAGAGCCACTCACTCACTCACCCAGAGCCACTCACTCACTCACCCAGAGCCACTCACTCACCCAGAGCCACTCACTCACTCACCCAGAGCCACTCACTCACTCACTCACTCACCCAGAGCCACTCACTCACTCACCCAGAGCCACTCACTCACTCACCCAGAGCCACTCACTCACTCACCCAGAGCCACTCACTCACTCACTCAGAGCCACTCACTCACCCAGAGCCACTCACTCACTCACCCAGAGCCACTCACTCACTCACCCAGAGCCACTCACTCACTCAGAGCCACTCACTCACCCAGAGCCACTCACTCACTCACCCAGAGCCACTCACTCACTCACTCACCCAGAGCCACTCACTCACTCACTCAGAGCCACTCACTCATTCACCCAGAGCCGATCACTCACTCACTCACTCACCCAGAGCCACTCACTCACCCAGAGTCACTCACTCACCCACAGCCACTCACTCACTCACCCAGAGCCACTCACTCACTCACCCAGAGCCGATCACTCACTCACTCACTCACCCAGAGCCACTCACTCACCCAGAGTCACTCACTCACCCACAGCCACTCATTCACTCACCCAGAGCCACTCACTCACTCACCAGGTGAGCCACTCACTCACTCACCCAGAGCCACTCACTCACCCAGAGTCACTCACTCACCCACAGCCACTCACTCACTCACCCAGAGCCACTCACTCACCCAGAGCCACTCACTCACCCAGAGCCACTCACTCACCCAGAGCCACTCACTCACTCACCCAGAGTCACTCACTCACCCACAGCCACTCACTCACTCACCCAGAGCCACTCACTCACCCAGAGCCACTCACTCACTCACTCACCTAGAGCCACTCACTCACCCAGAGCCACTCACTCACCCAGAGTCACTCACTCACCCACAGCCACTCATTCACTCACCCAGAGCCACTCACTCACTCACCCAGAGCCGATCACTCACTCACTCACTCACCCAGAGCCACTCACTCACTCACCCAGAGCCACTCACTCACTCACTCACCCAGAGCCACTCACTCACTCACCCAGAGTCACTCACTCACCCACAGCCACTCACTCACTCACCCAGAGCCACTCACTCACCCAGAGCCACTCACTCACTCACTCACCTAGAGCCACTCACTCACCCAGAGCCACTCACTCACCCAGAGTCACTCACTCACCCACAGCCACTCATTCACTCACCCAGAGCCACTCACTCACTCACCCAGAGCCGATCACTCACTCACTCACTCACCCAGAGCCACTCACTCACTCACCCACAGCCACTCACTCACTCACCAGAGTCACTCACTCACTCACTCACCTAGAGCCACTCACTCACCCAGAGCCACTCACTCACCCAGAGTCACTCACTCACCCACAGCCACTCATTCACTCACCCAGAGCCACTCACTCACTCACCCAGAGCCGATCACTCACTCACTCACTCACCCAGAGCCACTCACTCACTCACCCAGAGCCACTCACTCACTCACTCACCCAGAGCCACTCACTCACCCAGAGCCACTCACTCACCCAGAGCCACTCACTCACTCACCCAGAGTCACTCACTCACCCACAGCCACTCATTCACTCACCCAGAGCCACTCACTCACTCACTCACCCAGAGCCACTCACTCACTCACTCACCCAGAGCCACTCACTCACTCACTCACTCACCCAGAGCCACTCACTCACTCACCCACAGCCACTCACTCACTCACCCAGAGCCACTCACTCACTCACAGCCACTCACTCACCCAGAGCCACTCACTCACCCAGAGCCACTCACTCACTCACCCAGAGCCACTCACTCACCCAGAGCCACTCACTCACCCAGAGCCACTCACTCACTCACCCACAGCCACTCACTCACTCACCCAGAGCCACTCACTCACTCACAGCCACTCACTCACTCACCCAGAGCCACTCACTCACCCAGAGCCACTCTCTCACTCACCCAGAGCCACTCACCCAGAGCCACTCACTCACTCACTCACCCAGAGCCACTCACTCACTCAGAGCCACTCACTCACTCACCCAGAGCCACTCACTCACTCACCCAGAGCCACTCACCCAGAGCCACTCACTCACTCAGAGCCACTCACTCACCCAGAGCCACTCACTCACTCAGAGCCACTCACTCACCCAGAAGCCACTCACTCACCCAGAGCCACTCACTCACTCACCCAGAGCCACTCACTCACTCACCCAGAGCCACTCACTCACTCACCCAGAGCCACTCACTCACTCACCCAGAGCCACTCACTCACCCAGAGCCACTCACTCACCCAGAGCCACTCACTCACTCACCCAGCGCCACTCACTCACCCAGAGCCACTCACTCACCCAGAGCCACTCACTCACCCAGAGCCACTCACTCACTCACCCAGAGCCACTCACTCACCCAGAGCCACTCACTCACCCAGAGCCACTCACTCACTCACCCAGAGCCACTCACTCACTCACCCAGAGCCACTCACTCACTCACCCAGAGCCACTCACTCACTCACCCAGAGCCACTCACTCACTCACCCAGAGCCACTCACTCACCCAGAGCCACTCACTCACCCAGAGCCACTCACTCACCCAGAGCCACTTACTCACTCACTCACTCACCCAGAGCCACTCACTCACTCAGAGCCACTCACTCACCCAGCGCGACTCACTCACCCAGAGCCACTCACTCACTCACCCAGAGCCACTCACTCACTCAGAGCCACTCACTCACCCAGAGCCACTCACTCACTCACCCAGAGCCACTCACTCACTCACTCACCCACCCAGAGCCACTCACTCACCCAGAGCCACTCACCCAGAGCCACTCACTCACTCACTCACGCAGAGCCACTCACTCACTCAGAGCCACTCACCCACCCAGAGTCACTCACCCAGAGCCACTCACTCACCCAGAGCCACTCACTCACCCAGAGCCCCGCGTCACCGTACTCACTCAGAGCCGGCGGCCATGGCTCGCTCGTGCCGGGCCTGCTCGCCGAGGGAGGCGCGTCGCAGCAGCAGCAGCGCCGTTGTCGTGCCCGCGGTGGCGGCGCTGGCGCTGGCAATGACGCTGGCGCTGGCGGCGGTGTTCCCGGCGGCGCTGATCGCGGCGACCGTCGTGGCCGCGTGGCCGTCGCTCGCCGCCTGGGCGCGTGGCTGTCGCGAGCCACTCGCACGCCGCCTCATGGCGAGCGCCGGGGGGCAGGCGCGTCTCCCAGCGCGGAGCGGACGCCATCGGACATCTCACCCAGCGGCGGCGGCAAAGTCGGCAAAGTCGGCAAAGGCGGCAAAGTCGGCGAAGTCGTCGAAGGCGGCACGGCCACGGGGTCCCCGGCCCGGCCGCCTCTCGCGCTCCTGCACGCACGGAAGGTCGGGGGGGGGGGGGGGACGACTTCAGACTCCGAAGCCATCGACCTCGGCGGCACGCGGTGGGGCCTCCACCGTGCCAAGAAGCAGTAGCAAGGCTACGTCAGCCAGCCGATCGTTGCACACAAGGGGCACACTGAAAGTTTCAGACCAAAGAGTTGGAAATTAGGCAGTTTAACTTAAAACCCGAATGCATTAGGAGGGGTTTATTCTGGCAGTGACTGGCAACAGGGCTGAGAACATAAACTCATGAACTCGCTGGACTTGAGAGCCTGGTTTCATCACAACTCGGTCTATGTGAGTCTACGGGTCTCTATGCGAGTCTATGGGTCGAGATGTGAGTCTATGGGTCTCTATGTGAGTCTATGGGTCGAGATGTGAGTCTATGGCAGAGGTCGCAACCGGGTACCCGATACCCGTACCCTACCCGATACCCGGCTACCCATACCCGACCGGGCACGGGTACCCGTTTGCGACCCTGGTGCGGCCGGGTACGGATAGGCCGTGAGTCACTGGTGAGTAACCGTTTGTCACTCATTTCCCAACGTCTTGTCTCTTCTCACAATTCAAGTTCCTAGAATCAACCCACCCGCGCCTGCAACATGGTTTCATCCCAGAGGTCGCAATCGGGTACCCGATACCCGTACCCTACCCGATACCCGGCCGGGTACGGTTAGCCGGGTATCGGGTAGGGTACGGGTAGCCGTTTGCGACCCTGGTGCGGCCGGGTACGGGTAAGGAATCAAAACCCGTTTGCGACCTCTGGTCTATGGGTCTCTATGTGAGTCTATGGGTCTCTATGTGAGTCTATGGGTCTCTGTGTGAGTCTACGGGTCTCTATGGGAGTCTATGGGTCTCCATGTGAGTCTATGGGTCTCTATGCGAGTCTATGGGTCTCTATGCGAGTCTATGGGTCTCTGTGTGAGTCTATGGGTCTCTGTGTGAGTCTACGGGTCTCTATGTGAGTCTATGTGTCTCTATGCGAGTCTATAGGTCTCTGTGTGAGTCTGTGGGTCTCTATGAGAGTCTACAGGTCTCTATGTGAGTCTTCGGGTCTCTATACGAGTCTATCGGTCTCTATATGAGTCTACGGGTCTCTGTGTGAGTCTACGGGTCTCTGTGTGAGTCTATGGGTCTCTATGCGAGTTTATGGGTCTCTATGCGAGTCTATGTGTCCCTGTGTGAGTCTATGGGTCTCTATGCGAGTTTATAGGTCTCAGTGTGAGTCTACGGGTCTCTATGAGAGTATATAGGTCTCTATGCGAGTCTATGGGTCTCTATGCGAGTCTATGTGTCTCTATGCGATTCTATGGGTCTCTATGCGAGTCTATGTGTCACTGTGTGAGTCTATGGGTCTCTATGCGAGTTTATAGGTCTCAGTGTGAGTCTACGGGTCTCTATGCGAGTCTACGGGTCTCTATGCGAGTCTACGGGTCTCTATGCGAGTCTACGGGTCTCTATGCGAGTCTACGGGTCTCTATGCGAGTCTACGGGTCTCTATGGTGACCAGGCTGAGACCATCACCTCACTGCAATGAAGAACTCGTTTTAGTCAAAGCCAGCCTATGAGTGGCACCAACTTATTCACTCTGACCTCTGACCTCACCGGCCACCTCTGCACAAGTGTCACCTCGCGTTTCTGTTTGTTTTCGTGCTAAGAGCACTTTTGAGGACAGCGCTGCATTGCAATGTTTGGATGTATTGTCGCTCGTCTACCCCAGGGCAGCCCCACCGAGCCTGAAGACTCGTTTCCAGGAGGGTCCTGCCAAGTTTGTCGGAGTAGCGGGTGATGCTGCAGCTGCGTGTAATCCCAATTGAGTAATTTGCATGACATTTTTCAGCATTGGGAAGTTTCGCTAATTCCCGTTAAACTGTACGCTTTTTATAGCTATGAGAGGAAACCCACGCAGAACAGGGGGCGAGAGAAGATACAAACGCCACACAGACCGGCACCCGAGTCGAAAATCGAACCCAGGCACTTGTGTTACCACTGCGCCAACTCTGCCACCCAAAGATTGTGCGACACGCAGGAGGAAGTTGGAGCACCTGGAGAACACCAACACAAACGAGAGGGGGTAACGCCAGAGGTCGCAATCGGGTACCCGATACCCGGCTACCCGTACCCGGCCGGGTACGGGTACCCGTTTGCGACCCTGGTGCGGCCGGGTACGGGTAGACCGCGAGTCACTGGTGAGTCACCGTTTGTCACTCATTTCCCAACGTCTTGTCTCTTCTCACAATTCAAGTTCCTAGAATCAACCCACCCGCGCCTGCAACATGACTTCATCCCAGAGGTCGCAATCAGGTACCCGATACCCGTACCCTACCCTACCCGGGTACGGGTACGGGTAGGGTACGGGTACGGCCGGGTACGGGTACCCGTTTGCGACCCTGGTGCGGCCGGGTACGGGTACGGGTAAGGAATCAAAACCCGTTTGCGACCTCTGGGTAACGCTCAAAAGTTCCGCACAGATGGGGCTCAATCCATTTGCTTTACTCCATCGCCGCCCGAGTCTTCAACACACTGAACTCCCAAGTGTCCCGCACGACCGCGATCCAGGAGGCTGAACGCGGCTCAACTTCCAAGTCACGTAGGTAAAACATTTAAATTAATAAAAGTAAAATAAAATAAAAATCACGACGTTTCGGAGGCAACACAAGCTTCCGTCTTCAGGTGGAATTTCTCATTTACTTGATACAGCTATCGTGCTGTGACGGTTCCACCTGAAGACGGAAGCTTGTGTTGCCTCCGAAACGTCGTGATTTTTATTTTATTTTTATTTTACTTTTATTAATTTTTATTTTTTACCTACGTGACTTTACCGAAAAAACCAAAGAGTATGAATCCTTGCAGTCACGAAAGCTTCAAATCTAGAATCGACTTCCGAGCTTCGACGCGGTCGGCCACGCTCGGGGTCTCGTGGCACGTGGGCTGTGCTCGCCAGTAACCGACAGGAGCTTCCGGTCCGTCTCATCAGCAGGGCGCGACGCAATCAACAACGTGGCTGTCCGACCGACCTTAGGGGCACAGGTGAATCCGTGACCTCGGAAGATCACGGGGTAGAAATTTCGGCGCGGGGGCAACCGGGATTTGAACCCAGGGACTCAAGTTTATCGACACGGGAGGGATGATGGTCTGTGGAGAGACCTGGGCAATGATTTAAACTGTCCGCCCGCGTGGTGCGGGACGCTGCGAGCTCAGCCGGCCGAGCCAACGAGATTGTCTCATTCATGCTCCGTCATCTCCTACGACGGAAACGAGGGGCTCCACTGGAAACCCATCCAAATAGTTCCGGTGGTAAAGCCAGACCGCCCGCATTCATCACCCGCTTTCGCTCACAGCGGGGCAGGCGGGGCGGGAGGCGGAGGAGCAGTAGTCAGCGCATTGCGCTATAAACCCAGCGCCACAAACATTATTCTGGGTCACGGCGAACGTGAGCGACGAGCGATATCTGTTCCGGTCCTGGGTTCCCCTCGCGCACACAAACCCGCCGCTGGCCAGCGCGGTGAAGTATTATCAAACAACGGCTCGGGCGGCAATCATCGCCGCCCCCCCCCCCCCGCCTCCTGGTAGACTAATGCCCGCTGGTAGGCCAGGTCCCAAGTTGGCTTGTGCAAAATAAGTAATATTTTAAAAAACTTTTTTTTTTAAACACGCTTTTATGAAATGTACTAGTAATGGCAGAACTCCACAACTCAGGAAGTGGCCCCGAAACTTGCCATAACGTAAGGGACCGTGGCCAATTACAGCCAACGTCAGTTGAACGTGGATAATTAGACCCAAGGTGAAACATAACATAAAAAAAGATGGTTTAAAAATATTTTTGTTATTTTTAATGATAGATTATAGTATTGTCATCAGTATGACATAAGTATACCAAGTTTGCAGTCGATACCACATTGGGAAGTGGGTTAAAATTGAGTTACAAGATTTGAGGATACGACAACAACAGTGAGTTAATAGAAAGCGTGTAAAAAGATGGTTTAAAAATATATTTTAATTTTTTATGATAGAATATGGTATTGTCATCAGTATGACATAAGTATACCAAGTTTTCAGTCCATACCACATTGGGAAGCGGGTTAAAATTGAGTTACAAGATTTGAGGATACGACAACAACAACAGACAGAGTGAGTTAAATAAAAGCGTGTAAAAATAAAAAGGGCGAGCTGTCATAGGACACAAATGTGTCGAGGTGAGATGAGATCTCAAACGCTGCAAGGCACCCCGGCGAATAGGCGGACGCGATATCAAAAACACAGATCGTGACGTCACGATCTGTGTCGGCCCACGTGGAAATCAATTCTTGAGGATCGAGGCATTGGTGCACGTCCCCTGTTTACAGCCCCTGAGCCAGTGATGGAAATTCCACATTCTTATGGCGGGGAGCGAGTTCCTCCAACAATACGGAGACCAATGCCAAGTCCCTCAGTGGTACTCTCATTTTATCGATGCCGGAGGGATGATTGGCTGAGTCAACCCCCAAGCGGGGTTTGAGTTCAGAGCCCCTCCCATTGCGAGCCGCAGAGCCACCTGGCCCCCACCTAGGCCTCGGCAAGGTAAGGTAATTTACCCTTTTTACCGGGTAAAAGGGTAGGGTAAAGGTAGCGTGAAGTATTACCCGGTAAACACGGTACCTTGTTTAACGATAAAAGCTCCGTGGCGCAGTCCGTGGCCTCCATTTAACAAGTAATATTAAAACTAACTTTTTGTTAAACACGCTTTTATTAAATGTACCAGTAATGGCAGAACTCCACGACTCCAGCAAGTGGCCCTGAAACTTGCCATAACGTAAGGGACCGTGGACAATTAGACCCAAGCCGAAACATAACAAATAAAAAAGAATGTTTAAAAAAATATTTTTTTTTTTTATGATAGAATATAGTGTTGTCATCAGTATGACATCAGTATACCAAGTTTGCAGTCGATACCACATTGGGAAGTGGGTAAAAATTGAGTTACAAGATTTGAGGATACAACAACGATG